ATATCTCACTATTTAAGGAATATAGTAAGTGCAGAGGTAAATTCTCAATTAAAATTGGTGATGATTCAAAATCAATTTTCTGATTTTTCAAAAATTTCACACTAAAATTCAAGTATTGAGATCAGACAATCGGTTGAATACTTTAAAACCATTTTGAGCCAATATTTTTCTGATCACGACATTATTCATCAGAGTTTTGTGTTAATACCCCACAACAAAATGATATAGCCGAACGAAAAAATACATATTCTTGAAGTAGCTTGATCAATCATGTTCACTACCCACATTCCAAAATTTCTTTGGGGAGAGGCTGTTCTCACCACTGCATACTTGATAAACCGCATGCCTTCCCGAACTCTCACATTTCGAATACCTTATGATACACTCTTAAAGGTCTTTCCAAAATTTCATATCCTTCATACCCTTCCCTATAAAATTTTCAGTTGTTCAGCCTATGTCTATATTCATACTCACCTCAGGGGTAAACTTGATCCAAGAGCCATTAAATGTGTTTTTGTTGGATATTCACTAAGTCAAAAAGGATACAAATATTTTTGTCCCTGGACCTGTTGCATCTGTAACACTATGGATGTTACTTTCTTTGAAGATCAGTTATTCTATCCCACTACTGATATTTAAGGGAAAAGTATTAATCAGGAATATCAAGTATGGGATATAAGTACACTACCTCTTACCTCTTTTCCCCTTATTATTCCCGAGTCCTCATCAAATTTTCCTAAAACCAGTAACAAAGAGCCTGAACCTGAACCTGTACCTACTGCTATTAACAAAGAGTTACATGTCTATATTAGAAGAAACAAAGCTCCAGTTGATAAAAATTCTGAACCAACTATACATTGCCATGAGTCCATTCCAGTTCCAAGCAATAAGGACACACAAGGTAATGAGTTTTCAGGCACAATTTTTTATATTGTTACTATTACTGACCATGATACTGAGTTATCTATTGCTTTGCGGAAGGAACTCGATCTTGTACTAGACACCCTATACAGGATTATGTTTCATTCAACAACTTGTCTTCAAAGTATCATGGATATGTAAGTAAACTTGATGATAGCTCCACTGAACCTAAAAATATTCATGAAGCCCTTGCTATTCAAGAAGAGATCAGGGCCCTATAAAAGAACAAGACTTGGGAACTGATAGAATTTCCTCCTGGAAAACATAAAGTGAGGTGCAAATGGGTATTCACTACAAAACACAATCTTGATGGAAGTGTGAATCAGTACAAAGTTCGTCTAGTGGCTAAAGACTTCACTCAATCCTATGAGATAGACTATTAGGAGACATTCGCCCTAGTGGCTAAGCACAACACTATCCGGGTATTAATCTCTCTTGCTTCTAATCTTGATTGGCCTCTCTGTCAACTTGATGTAAATAATACATTTCTCAATGGAGATTTAGAAGAAGAAATATATATGGAAGTTCCTTTTGGTCTTTAGACCACATGACTCTCACAAGATGTGCAAACTCAGAAAGGCACTCTATGGTCTAAAATAATCTCCAAGAGCTCGGTTTGATAGATTCATGAAAGTAGTTAAACATGTGGGCTATGAGCAGTGTCAGTTTGATCATACTTTGTTTGTCAAGAGCAGTGCCTCTGGTAAGAAAGTTATCCTAATTGTATATGTTGATAATATTATTTTAACATGTGATAAAATAGAGGAAATTCAGAAACTTAACTTTTCTTGCCACGAAATTTGAGATAAAAAATCTTGGAGCACTCAGGTACTTTATGGGAATGGAATTTGCTCATTCTAAAAAGGGGATATTTGTGTCACAACAGAAATATGTTTTTGCCCTGTTGAGAGAAACAGAGATGCTTGGGTGTAAACCAGCAGAAACACCCATGGAAACGACTACAAAAGTTGGACTTAAAACCGATGGCAAGCCAGTTGATAAAGAAAGACATCAAAAACTTGTGGGCAAACTCATTTATCTTGCTTATAGACCTGACATTAGTTTTGCTGTAAGTACTGTAAGTTAATTCATGAACCAACCTACTGATGATCATATGAATGTAGTATATCGGATCTTAAGATATCTTAAGAAGACTCCAAGACAAGGATTATTTTTTCAGAAAATAATGAACAGGAATATTTAAATCTACACAGATATAGATTGGGCGGGTTCTATAACTGACAGAAGATCTACATCTGGGTACTATACTTATGTTTGGGAAAACTTAGTCACTTAGCAGAGAAAGAAACAATCTGTTGTGTCACGAAGTGGTATAGAAGTTGTATTTCGGTCACTTGCTCATGGAATATGTGAGGGAGTTTGGTTAAAAAAGGTTCTAATGGAAATAAAATTCTTGGTTACTACTCCTATGAAAGTATGGTGCGACAATCAATCAACAATCAATATGGCTAAAAATCCTGTACATCATGATCGAACTAAACATGTGGAGATAGATAGGCATTTCATCAGAGAGGAGATTGAAGATCAAATAATTACAATACTCTATGTTCCTACAAGTCAGCAAACTGCAAATATTTTGACAAAAGCACTTCCCAAAGGACCCTTCAACGAATTGATATCTAATTTAGGCTTACTCAACATTTATGTAACTTAGATTGAGGGGGAGTGTAGAAATATTAGAAATAAGTTGTATTTACAATTATTGTTTACTTTTACTATTACCGCGTTCTGTTTTTTTTTTTTAAATTTTTTATTAGAGATAAGTTATTGCTAGGATCAGACACAGCAGCGGAATGCTAGTTGACATTTACCGATTATTCCTTTCACTAGGGAAGGTTGTTTATTTGTTTCTTTTCTTCTGTTTTTGCTTATAAAATGAGGCACTAATCATTGATGGAATGAAGAGTTTTTTCTACTCTCAAAATCTTCACTTATCTTATTAATAGAATGTTTTTACGGGTTCTTGATTTTAGAAGTCATTTGGAGGTTTGGTAAGGTACAAATTTCTATACTGTTCCTCCAAAAGTGTTTGGATGTGTTTACTTTGTCCATGCTAGAAATGTGAATAAGTTGGAATTTAGAGCTCTCAGGTGCATAATTGTTGGATATTCTCTTACTCAAAAGGGTTACAAGTATTATCAGTTATTGTTTAGAAAATATTTTGTGACTATGGAGGTTATTTTTAGAGAATCTGAATCATACTTCAGTTTCACCCCAACGCCTCTAGGGGGAGAGTGAAATGGAAGAGATGATGCCCAGTTCGGTAACCCTTGAGTTATATTCAATGGGAGAATTCAATGTCAGAAGATTTTATTCAAGAAGAAAATGTTGGACGACTGGATAAATCAGACGTAATTCAGGGAGATATAAGACAAGAAAAGCCATCATGCAGTGTATCCCAAGTCAAGAATCTTTTTCAGTTCCTGAAGATACTAGTGAATCATTTTTTACTTGTGAATTATTTGATAAACTCATTACTCTTAGAAAAGAAATCAGAACTTGCACTAAGCATCTTATGTCTGACTTTGTTTTTATACTATAGAGTTTTTGTCTTGTCTGATTCCTCTGTATTTATACCATAGAATTGGAGAGAAGCTCTAGGAGATCTCCAATGGAAAGAAGCGGTGATTGAAGAATGAAAATATTGCTAAAAAATGGAACATGAGAGCTTGATTCAATCCACAAAGAAAGAAGATGGTTGGTTATAAGTGGGTCTATAAAACACAAAGTATATGAGTCGATTGAAAGATACAAAGATAGACTAGTGGTTAAAGAGTTTACTAAGACTTGTGGAATTGACTACCTGGAAATCTTTGCACCTGTCACAAAAATGAACACATTCAGAATATTATTATCATGTGTTGCTAATCTTAATTGGGACTTACACCACTTTGATGTAAAAATGTCTTTCTCCATGGGAACTTAGAGGAGAAGGTATATATGAAAATTTCACATGGATTTAAAGATGAAAGAACACAAGATAAGGTTTGTAAATTAAAAAAGGCATTGTATGGACTGAAACAGTCTCCAAGAGCATGGTTTGAAAGGTTCAAAAAAGTTATAATTTCTTTCGGATATCAACAAAGTAATGCTAATACCCTTGTTCATCAAACATTGTGAGGGTGTGATCACTCTTCTCATTGTTTATCTAGATAATATTGTCGTGACTGGAGATGATACAAAGGAGATACCTCAATTAAATGGAGTATTTGCTTAAGAATTTGAAATCAATGATTTAGGAAAATTGCAGTAGTTCTTGGAAATTGAGGTTGACAGATCTAATAAAGGAATTTTCATTTCTCAAATAAAGTATATTCTAGACTTGTTAAAAGATATTGGTATGATGGATTGCAAGCTAATTGAATCCCCTATTCAAAGTAATCACAAATTACAAGTAAGTTGTAAATCAGTTGGCATGGAAAAATTTCAGAGATTAGTTGGAAAACTCATTTATCCCTCACATACCAGACTAAATATAACCTGTGCAGTTAGCCTTGTGAGTCAGTACATGCATGATCCTTGCGAGGC